CAGAGGAAATATCTGCAAGGAGGGCCAGGTATTATAAACATGGTGGAGATCAAAGGTGGCACTCTAAAACAACAGCAAAATTTCCCCAAGTCTTATAGAGCCTTCAAGGCATCCCCTGGACGTGGATCATCCACTTGGCGGACAAACATGTTAAGCACCTAACTTGCATCAGACTCAGGGAATATGCTTTGGACACCCAGAGGCTACCACAAGACCCTGTCTCCAAGGAGGGGAAATCCCCTCCTTTGGGATTGGAGAGAAGGCTCAAGACCCTTTGTTGCTTTTGCAGGGAACCCAGGTTTCATTTCCAGCACCAACAAGGTGGCTCACAACCTTTGCTGCCTCCTGTATGTGTTGATACACAGACAAGATAAATACCCTACACATAAATAAATTAAAAATAAGTAGTAAAGAAAAAACTGTTTTCCTCACTCAAGAATTAGACATGCCAGTTTGGCCAAGACAGTTTCAGTTTATGCCTTTGGTGGCCAAGTTATTACTATTATTGTTATTGGTTTGAGATAGGGCCTCATAATATCCAGGTTGGCCTCAAACTTTCTATATGGTGAGATGTGACTTCTGGTGTTATGAATGTGGGCTTCTAACCACAGTTATATGGGATGGTTACAGTTCTTCAAAATTGTAGAAGTTCCTGGCAATAAACCAAGTACTCATCAGAGGCTAGTTAAAAGGATGTGGCAAAATTGCATACTGAGCTATTACTCGGCATAAAATGGATCAAGAAATCTCTTTGCAGATTGATATGGAGCAATCTTCACAATATTGCTAGGATGGAAAACCACCAGGGTGCAGATGACAAGCTGTCTCTGCTCTGAGGTTACCGTGTTTGCCACCAGGTCTAAAGCCCTGAGTTTGATCTGCCAGAGCCACATGGTAGGAGAGAATTCATTCCATTTGTAAGATTTGTTCTCTGACATCCACTAGTGCCCCCCCAACAATAAATAAATGTAAGAGTTTATTTGAAATCGGGAGAGACCGGGTGCCACATGTTTATCTAATAAAAATGGATGCTGGAGAGATGGCTCAGCAGCTAAGAGTACCAGTTACTCTCGTTTTGAGACAGGGTCACAGTATACAGTTTTGGCTGGCCTGAAACTCTCAGAGATCCACCTGCCTCTACTTCCTGAGTCATGGCAGCAAAGGTATGTGCCACCATATCTCACTGCACTGGGTGCTTTGCAAAGAACTGTGTTTCTTGTCCCAGTACCCATATGGTGGTTCACAATTGTATAATTCCAGTCCATGCGGAACACCACCACACACAAAAATAAATAAATGAATAAACTAAAACGAGCCCCTTAAAATTAAAAAAGGGATCGAGCAGTGGTGATGCACACCTTTGATCCCAGCACTTGGGAGGCAGAAACAAGTAGATCTCTGTGGGTTCTGTGAGTTTGAGGCCAGCCTGGTCTATAGAGATAGTTCCAGGACAGCCAGAGCTGTTACACAGAGAAACCCTGACTCAGAAAACTTAAAAAGGGAATAGACTATAAAAGAAAAGAAATATATATATATACATGTATGTATTTATATATGTATGTATATATATACTTTATATGCTACAAGAAATATATTTCTTGATCCTTTTGCATATATATATATATATATATATATATTTTTTTTTTTTTTTTTTTTGTGATCCTCTTGTCTCAACCTCTCAAGTGCTAGGATTTCTGGGATTTCAGGTGTGCACCATCATGCCTGTTTGTTTTGAGACAAGGTCTTGAAGTCTCAGCTGACCTCTAATTCACTATGTATCTGAATTTCTGATCCTTTTGAATCTGCCCCCAAAATTGAAATGCTGGGATAACGGGTTTGTGCCACCACACCAGATTTTATTTCAGGCTCAGTCAGAAGCCAGGGGTTCGTGTGTGCTAGGCAAACTGCATCCCTACCTAGTTCTTATGTTCTTTTTTACTTTCTGGAGTTTGAACTATGTGAATGTATTACCTATTTAAATTTCTAAGTAAACCAAGTGTGGTAATACATTCCAGTAATTCTAGCTCTCAGAAGGCTGCAGGAGGATTGCTACAAGTTCAAGGCCAACCTTGTTTATGTAGTAAATTCCAAGCTAACCTAAATTACAGAATAAGACCACTTCTCAAACAATCCAAAGAAGCATTACCGTGTGTTCGGAACACTCAGGACAGCTTTGTCTAAAACCATTTATTATGCAGCCTTGCACATGACATTGCTTGGAGCTTTCTGGGTCAGCAACTGCTGTATTTTTTTCCTTGTTGGTTTTTCGAGTCAGGGTTTCTCTGTATTGCTTTTGGAGCCTGTCCTGGAACTAGCTCTGTAGACCAGGCTGGCCTCGAACTCACAGAGCTCCACCTTCCTCTGCCTCCAGAGTGCTGGGATTAAAGGCATGCACCACCAACACCCAGCTTTCCTTGTTTGTTTTTATGAGACAAGGTTTCTCTGTGCAATAGTCCTGGCTGTCCTAGAACTGTGTAGACCAGGCTGGCCTCGAACTCACAGAGATCTGCTGGTCTTTGCCTCCCAAGTGCTAGGATTAAAGGTGTGTGCTACCACCCCTGGCTAAGTGCTGGCATTTTTGCATTCCTAAAGTCTTGCAGTCTGTGTTTGAAAGAATGAGTAAATCATGAGTGTTAGTATTATGCACTTTTCAAAGTGTGTTGATAACCACTGTCTGTTCCTAACAGTTAGGTGAGGCTAGATAGATGGGTATTTTTATCTGATAAAGAAAGTTCCTTTGGGTTGGGAGTGTAGGTCAGAGGTAGGGTGTTTACCTAGAATGCATAAGCCCTATTTTGATCCCCAACATCAGAAAAACAAATAAACAAAAGACAGGACAAGGAGCAAGCTAGGAAGATGGCTTGCTGTTAAGAGTGCTTGCTGCTCTTCCAGAGGACCCAAGTGTAGCTCACAACCAGTTGTAACTCCAGCTTCAGGGGATCCAACATTCTTATCTACTTTCATGGGTGTAGGCACACACACACACACAGATACACATGTGGCAAACACACATAGGACATATACACATACATATAATTAAAAATAAAAATAAATCTTTAAAAACAAAAGAAACAGGGTGGGCAGGCAGCTCAGTCAGTAAAGTAAAAAGCCACCATAAGGGATGATTCCCTAGAATCTCAGTCCTGAGGAGATGGAAGCTGGAGGATCCCTGGGACTTGTTAGCCAACAGGTCAGTTTAACCAACTGCTGAGCTCCAAGTTCAGTGAGAGACCTTATCTTAAAAAATAAGGTAGGGTAAGGGCCACACATATTAAATAAAAATGTAATAGAAGTTTTTAAAAAGGTAAGTTGGAGAAACAAGGTAGGCGCCTGATCTTCACTCAGACAAGAACACACAAACACACAGCAGCACAGCTGAGATCCAGCTGGATGATAACGAAATGATTTGCTCAAGTTCACCAAAAGAGATAGGTAAAGGTCAGTACTGGACCTCCAGTCCAGTTCAGTGTTAGGTTCATACACCACCTTAGTCTTGCCCAGCTTCCTTTTGTTTTTGTTTGCTCGTGTGTTTTTTTGAGGCAGGGTCTTAGCATGTAGCCTAGGCTAAGCTTAAACTTTTTTTTTATCCCTTGTTCATAGCCTTCTGAGTGCTGGGATTGTAGGTGTAAGCCACTGAGCTGGGTTCCCTACCTGCCTGTCTTTTATGTATATGTAGCAATAGTTTTCCAACTTCCTTGTGCAATAGCCTGAAATCACTTCTTCTTAGTCCTGTTTAACTCCCCTTTGCCCTCACATAACAGCCAAAGGAATCTTTCTGACATATACATCTCACCATTTCCTTCCTCTCTTCCGATTAACTGGGAGTTCCCTTTTTCTTCAGCTGGCTAGTTTTCCTCACCAGCTCTCTAGGGCAACGTGGACTACAGATCCTCCTGTCTCAACGTATCTGGGATTACAGGCCTGTACCGTCGCATTGGATCCCTACATCTACCTTCCTTTGCAATTTATACATGGGTGTATGCAGACCCCTTTCATCTCAGCTTCAGCTTCCCAGGTTCCACTAGATCCTAGCAAGTGTAAAGATTGTGCCTAAGTGCTTCACAGACAGCTTCTTCCACCTCCCTCTCTGCCTGGAGAACTGTCTGGTAAGACCTGGCTCAAATTTCACCTCTGGAACTAAGGGTGTCTCTCAGTGGCAGAGATACCCTCACCCTGCCAGAGGTTCTGAGTTCAATCCTCAGTAGGATATACACACGTCACCCTTTCAGCTGACCTCACTCCTTATTTCCACCCAACCAATCGAACAGAAAAATGGGAACTATAGTCAAGATGGATCTGTAGATTTAGAATGACCCGGGCCTACAGTTGTTCTCTTATGTGACCTTGGCCCTCGGTGTTCTTCATTATCAACCAAGCTTTGGGCTGGAAGTGAGAACCCATCTACTGTGAGGTGGTGTGGGGAGGCTGGAAGTGAGAACCCACCTACTGTGTGTGTTATACGGAAAGGGGAAGAGCCCGTGGTGCTCAGCACAAGTTTTGATAGTCTGTTCCGGACACTTTATGCTCATTTGCAACTCTCACCCTGCCTCTGGCACCTTCCTCAGTAATCCCAAAACACTCTAGACTCTTCCTTAAAGCGGAAAGAGCCCACTCGGTGAGGAGGGCGCAGAGGGTCGCGACAACAACCGCTGGTATACCCAGCGCGGACTTTGGGCAGAATCGCAATAGGAAGCATAGGGTCACTAGGAGAGGGGAAACAGTGAGCGAAGGCAGTCTTGGATGAGTCTCCACCCAAGGTCACGGCGCCCGCCCAACAGGCGGCGAACCGAGGAGACGTCTCCCGGAAGCCCCGCCTCACCAGGGGGCCGAGGCCTCTCTCCTTTGAGCCCCAACGCGTTGCCTTTAAGGCTTTGGAGGAGTCGCCGTATCCGTGGACTGACAACGGAGTGCCTCGTGTTTTGTCCCTCGTCGGCCTCCGTGGGCCGGCCGGGCGCGAGGGCGGGACAGGGGAGCGGCGGCGGGGTCAAAGGCTACAGCGCGCACCACGTGGGCCGGTGACTCCGTCCTTCCCGCAGCGGCCGCGGCGCGCAGGGCACTTGGGTTAGTGGCGCGGCGTGCGGCGCATACAGGCGAGCCGGACGCCCGCTCCCGCCATGGTCATCAAGACGGACGAGTTGCCAGCGGCCGCCCCGGCCGACAGTGCCCGGGAGCACGGCTCGCAGGCAGGCGGCAAGGGGCGACCGAGCGCGGCTGGTGAGTGGGCCGGGGCCAGGGGCAGCTGGGTCGGGGCCCCGGCTGAGTCGAGCCGGAGGGTTCGGGATTCGGCGGACAGCCGCCTTCGCCCCGCGTCCGTGTGAGCCGTGCCCTGGGCCGCCCCCGCGCTGAAGGTCACCTTCACTGGCACCCCCGGCTACGGCCCGGACTTCGCACGTGGGGTCCGTGGAAGGGCAGCCACGGCGGACACACGCGCGCAAGATCGCGGGGACACGTGCACGCACACGCGGTTTGGTTTCAGGGTGCGCCGCCGCCGCAGGCAGATGGAATCGGCGGCCCCACCCCCTGTGCGCCCCGCTTGGGGTGCCCTGGGGCTGGGGACGCTGACACTTGCGGCCCAGCCTCCTTCTGGTCCCTCTTGTCCTAGACGTTCCTGTGCGGCAGAGCTGTAGCCCAATGAGTGAGGCTCTGTTTGGAGCTGCCCAAACTTGGGACTGTGGGAAGAGCGCAAGTTGGGGTGTATGTTATGTGGGGGTGTCTCTGGTACACTCTTAGAGACAAGGGCTTCACCCCGGTTCTTCAGGCTCTGGTCTTTATTCTTTTAGTAGTTGGCCTCCACTTGATTTGGGGGCTGGGGCCCTGCCTGTATGTGGGGGCAAAGCCTGGTTCTTTGGCAGGGGAGATGTTTGTGCCTGAACTTGATCATTAACCTGCCTTATTGCGAAAAGTGGGTCAGACTAGAGCTGCTGTTTTTAAGGCAAAGGTCATTAGTGTGGAGTGGAGCTCCCAGCTCTCCCCCGTGGGGGCTGTGTGGTAGTCACTTTGGGAGTGGCCGAGCCTTGACTAGGGGCGGGGCCTACTTCTCTCGTACTTCGCCTGTGTCCTTTTTGTTATTTTCACCACGGCTCAGACTCTAGCCTTGCAGGTGGAAGCCCCTTCCTAGGCCTCCTCACTTTTCCTCAGGGCCAGACTGGTCCTTTGCACCCAGGGTGTCAGGGGGAGTGCAGAACCACCTATCTCTTTACCCTCAGCTCTCCACCATAGGAACTTGTCTCAGCTTACCTTCATTCTTCCTGGCTTCAGTGAGCAGACTAGGGCTGACCTGGGAGTAAGGATGGGTCTAAAACTTACTAGACTGTTTTCCATCACAGTAGATTTACCTTGCTTAGGCAAGGCCAGGGTTTGGGCAGAAGGAGAAATGCTGAAAATAACAGCTTGTCAAGCTGACGTGGTTCTGAATCCATGGGCAGGCTGGAGAAGAGAAGGTTGAGGCTGGCTGGTTTCCCCACCATCAGAAAGATCTGAAGAGATATGAAACAGCTTGTCCAAGGTCATAGTGATTTCATTGTCTAGGGAAGCATTTGGGTTTCCAGCTTCTGGCCAGCATGCCAAACCTACCCCAGCCTGGCCTAGAGGAAGCTGAAACAGGCATGCTAGTTTATCATGTGTGTGATTCAGGGAACTTAGGAGCTTAGTGGAGCATTTTTGGTGACTACCCATTCTGAAGTTTCCTTCTTAGTTATGTGCTGAGGGGCTTTTTCTTGGGGTCGGGGCATAGTTCTTCATCTTGATGTACAGGACAGGGCTTTCTAGTGTGTAGAATCCTTGCTTCTGTGTCCCCAGAAAGCTGGTATAGAAAACTTAGACTCGCTTTATGGCCATCTTGGATCTGTTCAAGGGAAGAAACGTTAATAGAGCTCCCCTCCTAGTCTGCTTCCCCAGTCAGGTCAGGCTTTTGTATGGATATCAGAGTGCAGACCCCTGGCCCTTAGCCCCTATTTCTGGAAGCTCTCCAGTACTTTTGAGGAGGGGATAAAGAGGGGCAAGGAAGGGTCAGTTACCTTCTTAGGAATAAAGTGGCTTTTAGGGGTTAAGAGAACGGGCAGGTTTTTCAAGTTCACAGTGGTGTGTCAGGTTCCTTCTGCACAGGGGAGGGCTCCCTGAATTGGGCGTGGAAACTAAAGGGGCCTGGCAGAGTAGGGGAGAACTGAGGAGTTTACAAGCTCTCCAGCAGAATCTTGAAGCTGCTCTTTTGGGTGGTATCTGGGGAAACAGTGGACCACACTTGGACCTTGAAGACCTACTTCTGGTCTGGGGAAACAGGAAAGAGGCAAACAGGGTCTTCCATAGGCTGTGTGTCTGCCTCTATCCCCTTGCCTTAAAGCCTTGGGTTCCTAGGATGGGGTTGTATATCTTATGGAGTTCTACTTCCTTCTCTAGCCTTACCTGCTGATTCCTTAGCTAGGGTGTGGCCTGGCCCTGGCATGGTCTCTGAAAACTGTCAGACTGGGAAGGCACACACAGACTACTTGTGGTTACTTAGATGTCTTTGTATTTCCTATCTGTGGGAGGGCATGCTCTCTCTTTACCCTGATCTGTACTTCTGGAGACTTGAAGCAGGAGTAAGTTACCACACGTGCCATTCAGGCAACTGATCCCATTCTGCAGAGGACTGCCTTTTTTCTTTCACTTTCCCTAACTGAATCCTAGGTCCTCAGAAGTGCCCCAGGATCTGAGTGCAGCCAAGTAGAGACCTGGATAGATCTTAGGGCCAGATGCACACCCTGAACTCAGTCCTTAGGGTTCCCAGAGCAAGGCACTGCTTCAGCCTGGTCCCTTGGGGGGCATGACAATAAATTGTACCCTAAAAGCGGTACCCAGAGGCCTGGGTTTATACTTCTGACACACCTACCTTTTCCTAGATGTAACTGCACTGACTTATGCTTCGAGACCTTGGACAGCTCACTTAATAGCCTCCTTGTGGAGCTTCAGTTTCCTTGAGTGAGTTGGGATGGTGATCCGAAATGTTCCTTCTGGGGGGGAGAGAGGCTCTGGAGTGAACAGTGGCCCAATGGGAACTAGAATGGGGACAGTGTTGGCATATTTTGACATTATCACCAGTTTGCCTGCTCTCCTCCCAGGATTAGGGTGTGTTTGGGGTGGGGGTTAGAAGGAATAGAGCTCTGTCTGGATCTGGCCCTTGCCTTAGGTCATAGTGTGAGGCTCAGAACCTGCTAGGGTTGAAGAGAAGCCAAGGATCTGCTTAGCCATTTCAAGGGGACCTGGAGTGGGAGCCTGGCTCCCCTTCCCACGCCCATGCTGGTTAGTATGGATTCCAGAGCAGCCCTAACTGGGCCCTGGCAACAAGTCATAGGTTCTGTGAAGGCTCCTTGGCGAGGCTGGGCATGCTGCTTCTCCATAGTATGATGGCCTTCAGCCTTTTGCTGGCAGCTCTGTTTTCCCCAGGGGAGACATTTGGCTTTCTCCAGCAGCGCACAGGTTGCTGGGAAGAGAAGAGATCGTCTGCCAGCTTCTTGGTGCAGCTTGGAGTCCTGAGGCATGGGTGCAGTTGTCCTCTGGGAGATTGGCCCATCCCCCTTTCACTAGAACCAGTGACTCTCAGGAAGGGGCCAGCTGCCAGGTCACCTGCAGGGGGCAGCAGGAGCCAGAAGCCTCAGCCAGTCCCTTGACCTAAGAGGAAGAAGGCAGGGTGCTCTGTGTCGGCAGCTGGTGGACAAGGGGTGGCTATCTCATGGCCTGGGCCCGGGTCTGTGCTAGCTGTTGTCAGCAGCTGGCTGAAGCGGTCCTGCCCACTGCCACAGTGGGTGGAGATGAGGAGAGGACCCCCTTGCTGAGCCCTGCTCCTGCCAGCCACTGCCCTACGCCTTCTATCCTAAGGGGCCCAGGTCCCCCAAATGCCAGGTTTCTCTGCTCTCCTAATGGCTTCACTGGCAGTGAACCCTTTTCTGAGGTGTGTGGAGAGGTAGGCCGGAGTGCTAAGAGCAGTTCTTCCCAGGGTCCTGGAGCCACTGGGGCCTCCTGGCCCAAGGCCGTCCTTCTGACCGACCTTGAACAGAATGCGAGGCAGGGGGAATGTGCCCTTCCCGGGGCTGTCCCAGCAGGCCTGGCCCCACTGAAACCTGAAGCCAGCTGGAGCTCCAGCCCTGAGCTCACCAGCTGCATCACCACAAGGGTAGAAGCAGAGGCTGGAACAAGGGATAGAGTCGTCACTGGGTCTGGGCCTGGTACGGGGGACTGGCTGCCTTACTGCCATGGCAGCCCTGAAACTCCAGAGCCAGGAAGAAAGCAGCTGCTGACTGTACCAGGTGGGCTATGGGATTGTGTGGACTCAGTACTGAACAGATATCACTTGACATTAGTCCTGTGGTGGAGAGGCCTTTCAGGGTCCTGTGGAGGAAAGAAGAGGGCCAGAACTGGCTGTCTTAAGTCTCACTACCCCGGGGTACAGGTCCCTGGCGTAGGAAGCAGGACTGGGGTCACCTTACTTACCTTTTCTGTCCTCTTGTCCTCTTCATTCCAAACACTTAGAGGAGCACAGGCTGTTGAGATCCAGGTCCAACTGCCTACTTTTCCTCTTCAAACCTAAAAGCCTGTGCAGCTTCTGTCTCCAATTTGGAAAGCCATCTCCTGGGACCCAGCAAAAGGGAAGTGTCTCCTGTTCACACCCCCCTTGCTGCTCTTAGCAGCCTAGCCACCACTGTCTGCTCTGTCCTTAGAGCCAGACAAGTGTTCTCACTTTGGGTAGGTTGTTCATTTCTGAGAGGCTGAAGCCTCCTTTCCAGGGGTTTCTGGGTCATCAAAAGGGGGCATTCTGTGTGTCCTTTGGTTCTCGGATGGCACTGCTGTTTTGGAAGGGGTATGGTGTGGTGCAGATAGCATTATTAGAGGCCCATAGTGCCCAGTGGCATGAACTGGGGAACCTTGGATTCACTTTAAACCTTTCTAGGTTTCACTCATTCACTCAGCCTGTTTTGAGATAAAGGAGTAGATCCCAAAGGTTTTTTTTTTTTTTTTTTTTTTTTTAATCAACTATTCAACTATTAAAGGGTACAGGGAAAGGGGGGAGGCTTCTTCTTGAGACCCTTGATTTATAGACATACTGCATAGCTTTGGGGTGGAAAAGGACCCTGGGGTCTGGATGTGCTGGGCTGACATCTAGAGTATAGCTGTTCTGTCTGGAGCAGTTCTGCTCAGAGCTGGGAGAGTGGGGCTGCGGGCAGATATTGGGGCCAAAGTCTCTGATTGCCAAGTGGAATCCAGGCAGGCCTATGTTTAGCTGGCAGGTTTCTGAGGAGGTCCTTGCCTTTCTAAGGGTGGAGGGGCCTTTCTTTTGTTACTCATAGTGCCTGGTGGGGAGGAATGGGACATTTTGTCACTTGATTCTTCCCACAGCATGTTAAGTTAGGTACTATTCACAAATATTGTGCTCGAATGTAGGCTAACACTAATTAGATATCTTTTTATTGAGGCATGGTAAGATAGAAGGTGGAACAGAGAGCTGCTGGTGTGAACAGCTATCCAGTGTGGCATAATGGCTACCCCTGAAGGCAGTGTGTGTATTCTGGCAGTGGTGGGACTGGTACTTCTGCTATCAGGGGTCATTTGAACAGGCTCTGGAGAAGACAGTTTGTTCACCTGGAACATAAGAATGAGTTGGAGGGGGCTGGAGAGATGGCTTTGGTGGTTAAGAGAGCCCTGGCTGCTCTCCCAGAGGACCCAGGTTCATTACTTACATGGCAGCTCACAACTGTGACTCCTGTTCCAGGGGATCCAGTACCCTCACAAAGACATACATGTAAGCAAAGAACCAATGTACATAAAATACAAATAAATAATTAAAAATGAGTTTGTCTAATGAACTAGTATTTCATGAGTGCTAGAATGATCCAGCTACAGAACAGTTCAACAGATGATTGGGTGGTGTATGTGTTTGTGTGTGTGGAGGGAAGGGGTGTGCTAAAGAGCACAGAGGTGAGAGGGGAGGGAGCTGGCAGAGCTGAGGCTGGTGTTGGGCAGGTGCCCTAGGCTGCCCTGTACTTGAGTCATCAGTGGTTTATCAGAAGGGTTCCAAATTGTGCTCTTGATGTTGAAAAACTTCCAAGGCCATGGCTACAGAGTCAATACCTAGGGTTGGTTGCGGGTTTAGGGTAGGTGGCTAGGTACTGGGGGAGAATTTTGTTCTGTTGGGGATGGTAGGTTTCATCCTAACAAAATGAGCTTTTGATGTTGTCTAAAGGGAAGTCCCATGTTGATGGCAGTTGTCTTTGTTGAGAAGCTTAAACCAGGATACTCTGCATCTGCAAGCTCATATGGCCAGTGCTGAGCTTACAGATGAAGAATATTTGAATCAGTATGAGAAATAGGGTTAGGAGGGGCTGATAATCAGCCCATAGCTTAAGGTCACTAGAGAGAATGGAGTTTGAAGAGGGCATTAAGGGTGTTTCCTTAGATAGAAGAGTAATGGCCTTGCTGCTAGAGAAGGCTGACATGTGGCATTGTGGCCTTGGGGGAGGAATCCCAACTGATAGGGCTGAGGAATAGTGGATGGAAAAGGAGGGCATGGAATGTGTAAAGGAGATGGCAGTGGTCTGCACATCCGCAGTGGATTGTGGTTTCTAGTAGGTCCATGGGATGCACACCCAACTGGGTGTTTGAGACAGAAAGCTCCATCTGACTCAGCTCTCACTTTCCCCCAGAGCCCCCTTCAGTCATGCTGTTGAATGGTGATTGCTCAGAGAGCTTGAAGAAGGAAGAAGGGACAACTGAGCCACCCAGAGAAAATGGACTGGATGAGGGTGAGCCTGGTGAAGAGACTACTGGACAGGAAGTCATTGTCATTCAGGACACAGGCTTTTCTGTGAAGATCCTGGCCCCTGGCATTGAGCCCTTTTCCTTGCAGGTGAGGTAAAAGATGATGTGCTGGGGACCAGGTGCAAGGATGCTGCTGGAGAGGAGCACATTTGAAAGCCCCAAGCCTTGTCTTTCCATGGGCTGGGCATGACTGAGAGTCCTGGCTTTTGCCCAGAGTCTGGGCTAGCGCAGTGAATGAGGTTAGATTCAAGTCATTGTCCCATTGCTGGAATGTAACCACCAGCAGCAATTGGCAAGCCCAGAGCCATTTGCCTGGGAACCTTAGTGATCTGTTATTTCCCCTGTTCCAGTCTCCAGTTGAGAGATTGTTCTTGGTCTCTGTAGGTAGTTTAGTTTAGGCCTAGGACACTGGGGCCAAGCTCTGTCTAGTTAGCTCACATATGTGTATGTATACAAACACAGGTGCAGGTGAACATGGTATTTCTGAATAAGGCTTGGAATTTTAATTTTAAAAGCCCAAAAGTAATAAAATTGGGGGCTGGAGAGATGGCCCAGAGGTTAAGAGCACTGGCTGCTCTTCCAGAGGTTCTGAGTTCAGTTCCTAGCAACTAAATGACAGCTCACAACCATCTATAATGAGATCTGGTGCCCTCTTCTGGTCTGTAAGCAGACATGCAAGCAAGAACACTAATTTTTTTTTTTTTTTTTTCTTTTTTAAACAAGGTAGTATTTTATTCTATGGTCCCAGGTACTTTGGCCTGGTAACAAGGAAGTATACTCTTGCACCCTGCCATATAGTTTCTTACCATAGTGGCCTTCTCTCTGCCAGGTGTCCCCCCAGGAGATGGTGCAGGAGATCCACCAGGTGCTCATGGACCGTGAGGACACTTGTCACCGTACCTGCTTCTCACTGCACCTGGATGGCAACATGCTGGACCACTTCTCAGAGCTTCGCAGTGTGGAGGGGCTACAGGAGGGCTCGGTGCTCCGAGTTGTGGAAGGTTGGTCAAGATTAAGCTAGTGGCTCCCAGAGGAGGGCCCAGAGTTAGGCCAAATAGCCTAATAGACTCATGTACTAGTGTCTCTGTGTTTCATCTGAGCACATGGAGGTGGACCTGGTGCATAAGTGTGCTGCCCAGGATGCCACTCCTTTTCTACTGCATGACACAGTTTAAAGACCAAGAGTCTCCATTTTTAAAAATCCAGCTAGTCCCAAACCAGCCTATCAAATTCTGAAAAGATAAGTGTTGCCTCTTTAGGAAGCTAAAAAGTTTCACAAGGTCTCTCTCTGTTCTAAGGACTGCCCTGGAACTTGCTGTGTAGACCAGAATGGCCTTGAATTTACAGCTAATCTGCCTGCCTCTGCCCTCCCAGTGCTCTTAAGGGAAGATGCTAGCCCCTTGTAGAGCCGTCTGCTGCTCTGCTGTGGTGAGGCTGGTTTGGCTGTACAATATAAGCTTCTGAAGCAGCTCAGAGGGAATCCCTAAGACTGTCAGCTTATGAAGAGCAGATGTGGAAAAACAGGGCACAGTGCTCATACCTCTAATACCAGCACTTGGGTAGCTGAGGCAGGAGGATTGCAGTGAACTGGAAGTGCCCTTGGGCTACAGAACAAGACCATGTCTCAAAATACCAAAAAGGAAAATAAATAAGTAAATAATGTGGGGAAAGTCTGACTCCACAGTTGATCATTGAACCTCTTTTTGTCCTTTCAGAGAAACCATTAAAATTCCATATAACATACTATACGGCATGTTGACTGTGAAGGCCCAATAGTTACACAGGACAAAAAACAGATGGCTCTAACAGGTTCTCCAGGGCCTGTGTGGGCAAACAAGGATCCCACTAACAGGCAGACAGGTGTCCGTTTGGAAACCAGAAACCCACCTTACATGTTCATCATAGTGGAATTTTGGCTCCTTTTTTTTTTTTTTTTTTTTTTTTTTTTGTGGGGGGCGGGGGTATATTTCCAGACAAGGTTTCTCTGTGTAGCTTTGGATCCTGTCCTGGAACCCGCTTTGTAGACCAGGCTGACCTCGAACTCATAGAGATCATCCTGCCTCTGACTCTCAAGTGCTAGGATTAAGGCATGCACCACCACTGCCCAGGCTAGGACTTTGTGTGCCTGCATCCATCACAATCATGTAGCCTGGGCTTGCTTTAAACCTGATACATAGGTGAACTCCTGATCCTCCTGCCTCTATAGTTGTTGGGCATAGCTGGCTGACAGTAAAATTAGAAAATGGGGAGCCTAATTGGAAAATTCAGTGCTGGAGGGTAAAATTCAGCAGTTAAATGGTTCAGTATGGTTCCTACTCTTCCAGAGGACTTGGGTTCAGTTCCCAGCACCTACATCAGGTGACTCACAGCAGCCAAAATTCCAGTTCTAGGGGTTCCCGTTCCCTCTTCTGGTCTCCACGGGCACCCTCACACATGTGGCATGCAGTAACACACAACATACATGTGTACCTACACTTAAATTAAAAACATCTTTTTTCCTCTTGGATTTTCAAGGTAGAGTTTCTCTATGTAACACAGTTCTAACTATTCTGGAACTCTGTAGACCAAGCTGGCCTCAAACTCACAGATTCTTCTGCCTCCTGAGTGCTGGGATTAAAGATGTGTGTCACCACCGCCTGGCTCTAAAAATACATCTTAAACAAAACAAACAAAACAGGCATGGTAGTCATTGTCTGATATTGGCATTTAGAGGCAGAGACAAGTATCACTGTTAGATCTAGGTTATCCAGAGCTACATAAGACCCTGTCTTAATCTTTGACAGTCTGTTCCCAACTTGTAAAAAAAAAAAGAAGAAAGAAAGAAGGAAAGAAAGAAATTTTAAGGTACCTCAGGAGGTGCAGATTCACCTTAGTGATAGACATTCCTTAATCCACCCTCCACTATAAAAAAAGAAAGCTAGGCAAATGTCTTTGTGCCTGCAATCTCAGTACTTTGGAGGCTGAGGCAGCAATAACAGTGAGTTCAAAGGTAGCCTGGGTTACATAACTGCAGGGTAGCATAAACCATAGAGAGAGACCTTGTCTTAATTTCAACCAACTAACCAATTCCCCTCCCCATTCCCCCCCCCACGATAGTGCTCTGCAAATGTCCTCTTTACAAAGCAGATCATTCTGGGAGGGCTTTGGTAATAATGTTCTATCCTCTTTCTTCTGGCAGAGCCTTACACAGTTCGTGAGGCCCGCATCCACGTGCGTCACATCCGAGACCTCCTCAAGAGCTTGGACCCATCTGATGCCTTCAATGGAGTTGACTGCAACTCCTTGTCCTTCCTGAGTGTCTTCACTGATGGTGACTTAGGAGGTGCGGGGAAAATTGGGTTCAGGACTTGTACAGTGGATCAAAAAAGGCCTGCAAGTCATCTCTACAAGGGAGTTTGGGGGTGGCTGGAGTCAAGGCTAGCCAGGGTCGAATTAATTGAGTGACAGAAATAGTTGGTTCCTGGCTGACCACCAGCCTTGGGTCCCTCAGACAGTGGGAAGCGGAAGAAGGGCTTGGAGATGGACCCCATTGACTGCACGCCACCTGAGTATATCCTGCCAGGGAGCCGGGAGCGGCCACTGTGTCCTCTGCAGCCCCAGAACCGTGACTGGAAGGTAAGGCTTCCAGAAACATCAAGGAAGCAAGACTCTGGTGTGTGTCCCAAAAGGGTTGTCTCCTCATGCTTGTTTATTTCTGCAGCCACTACAGTGCCTGAAAGTGCTCACCATGAGCGGCTGGAACCCACCTCCTGGGAACCGAAAGATGCATGGGGACCTCATGTACCTGTTTGTGATCACTGCTGAGGACCGGCAAGTCAGCATCACTGCGTCCACAAGGGGCTTCTACCTGAATCAGTAAGTCTTTGCTGGCCCCGCCGTGTACCATGGCATGTCCCAGTTGTATTCTGGGATAAGGACAAATACTTGGGGCACCTGCTCAGTTACCCTTCTCCTTCCTTGCAGGTCCACAGCCTATCACTTCAACCCCAAGCCTGCCAGCCCCCGCTTCCTCAGCCATTCCCTAGTAGAACTGCTCAACCAGATCAGCCCAACCTTTAAGAAGAACTTTGCTGTGCTGCAGAAGAAAAGGTAGCACCTTTGTACTGTTGTGTCCTGCCCTGTTTCTAGTCACAGGCTGGCCCACACACACCAGCATCTCTGCCTGAGGGATGGTGTCCCAGTGCCAAGAGCGCCTGGTTCAGGGGGAGGCAACAGCCCTGGGACAGGTACCCATTTACTGTCTGACTTCAGGGTGGCATTTCTGGGCAAGAGATGCCAGGACAGTGGGGGCTTCAGAGAGGAGGAGCTCACAACTGGGTTCTAAGCTTAGAGGGGTGTTTTCCCTATTCCCCCTCTTGCTACAGGGTCCAACGCCACCCATTCGAGAGAATTGCCACCCCGTTCCAGGTGTACAGCTGGACAGCCCCCCAGGCAGAGCATGCCATGGACTGTGTGCGAGCTGAGGATGCCTATACCTCGAGGCTGGGCTATGAAGAGCACATTCCTGGACAGGTGCTACCCACCGCCCCAGCCAGCCTTCCTGGTGCCTGGCATCTGTGCACCTCCAGGGGGCTCCCTCCAATCTCTGGGCCTGTCCACAGGGAGGTGAAAGAAGGGGATAGTTCCAGGCAGGTCAGGAGACACATGCTGAGGCTGCATCTGCCTCCCTGGCCCCTCCACAGACCCGAGACTGGAATGAAGAGCTGCAGACAACAAGGGAGCTGCCCCGCAAGAATCTACCTGAGAGGCTACTTCGAGAAAGAGCCATATTCAAGGTAATTGCATCCCCCCTTTGACTAAAGCACAGCCACAAGCCTATCTGTTAATTGGGCTTATAGGTAAAAGGGAAAACTGGAAGCTGGCACTGGCCCAGCTTTGTTGCCAACATTGGAGGTAGACCTGCAGGGTATCTCAACCTCCTGCCTCCCAGGAAACCACCTCAGATCTTTTCTATGACTTCATTCATTGAGATCTTTGAGGCCATAGAAAGGGAGAGACCTAACTTTCTTTGGTATGGTAAGTTCCAGCTGTCTTGATGTCCTCCTGTGAGACATGGTGCTCTCAATGAACCACATGCCCTACCAATGGGGCCCTTTTGGGTGCAGCAACATATTAGTATAATATAATACTTCTAGAATTTTTTTTATTAGTAGTTGAGTGTGTGTGTGCATGTGTGTGCATAGGGATGAGAGTCCATTCTCCACTGTAGGTCCAGGGATGGAAGTGAGGTAGTTCAAGCTTGGCGGCAGGCACTTTTCTTTACTGAGCCATCTCATTTGCCCTGCATACCCTTTTTTTTTTTGTTTCTGCACTGTTTCCCCCCCCCCCCAATAGAAATGTTGAGGTTTTAAGAAATGGTATTGTGCCAGGTCGGTAGTGGTGCACACCTTTAGTCCCAGCAGTTGGGAAGCAGAGGCAGACAGATCTCTGAGTTCGAGACCAGTCTGGTCTACAAGAGCTAGTTCCAGGACAGCCTCCAAAGCCACAGAGAAGCCCTGTCTCAAAAACAAACAAACAAAAAAAGATATTGTTGCCCTTTTGTAAATATGAGACTAGTGTTCCTGACTCCCAGGGCCTGGCTGTCTTCACCATCCAGGCAAGCTGGGTCAGGATAGGATGTTTTGGGGCCTGACTCACCTGCCCAAATTTGGCTTTCCACAGGTGCACAGTGATTTCACGGCAGCAGCCACAAGAGGTGCCATGGCAGTTATTGATGGCAATGTGATGGCCATCAACCCCAGCGAGGAGACCAAGATGCAGATGTTCATCTGGAACAACATCTTCTTTAGCCTGGGCTTTGATGTCCGGGACCACTACAAAGACTTTGGTGGGGATGTGGCAGCCTATGTGGCACCTGCCAATGACCTGAATGGTGTGCGTACTTATAATGCTGTGGATGTGGAGGGGTTGTACACACTGGGTACAGTGGTAGTGGATTACCGGGGTTACCGTGTCACAGCTCAGTCCATCATCCCTGGCATCCTGGAGAGGGACCAGGAACAGAGTGTCATCTATGGCTCTATTGACTTTGGCAAAACAGTGGTGTCCCACCCACGCTATCTGGAGCTTTTGGATCGCACCAGCCGGCCCCTCAAGATCCTGCGTCACCGAGTGCTTAATGACCGCGAGGAGGAAGTGGAGCTCTGCTCCTCAGTGGAGTGTAAGGGCATCATTGGCAATGATGGGCGCCACTATATCCTCGACCTTCTGCGCACTTTCCCACCGGACCTCAACTTCCTACCTGTGCCTGGTGAGGAGCTGCCTGAGGAGTGCACTCGTGCTGGCTTCCCCCGAGCTCATAGGCACAAGCTATGCTGTCTGCGCCAGGAGCTAGTGGATGCCTTTGTTGAGCACAGGTGAGGAGTGGCTGCTGTTGGCCTGGTCTGCATTGACAGCATGGCTGGTTCAGTTAGGCTCATACCTCAGCCTTTGCCTGCCTCAGATCTCCAGGTACAGAAAGCAGGGCCTCTGTCAGTTACAGACTAGCAAGTGGCTAAGGTAAACTGGCATTCAGTAAAGTGGTCCTGACTCTTTTAAGTAGCATTTGGAAATCTCCCCGGGGTGATTTTTTTTTTTTTTTAAATGCAGTGTGGGGCTGGGGAGATGCTCAGTGGGTGAGAGTGCTTGCTGTGTAAACATGGGGACCTACATGCAAGGTTGTGTGTTTCAATGTGTTTAACCCCAGCAACGTGGAGAGAGGGTATAAACAGGATAGTAGTCGTCGGAATTTGTGAACTGTCGAGTAAGTCCACGTTCAGTGAGAGGTCCTGTCTCAAGTGAGTAGGGTAGAAAGTAATACAGCAGAACCTAAAGTCCTCCTGTGGCTTTCATGTGCACACAGGCACACTCATATAAAGATACACACAAAGCTGGGTGTGGTGGTGCACTTGGGGGTTGGTGGGTTCCTGAGCTCGAGGCCAGCCTGGTCTACAAAGTGAGTTCTGGGACAGCCAGAAGTATAGAGAAGCCATGTCAAACCAAAAAATAAGTTGGGCATCAGTGGTGCATACCTTTAATCCCAGCACTTAGGAGGCAGAGGCAAGTAGGTTAGATCTCTTAAGTTCAAAGCCACCTGGTCTACAGAGCAAGTGCCAAGAATGTTAAACAGAGAAACAAAAACACCCCCAAAATGTAAAAAAAATAATGGCTCACAGAGGAAGATCTCAAGTGCAGGGCTGGGAAGTGGGTCTTGAAACTGTTGGTGCAGCTGGCAATGAACATACCATCTGCTGTGTCTCACACCATGATGAACTGGCTTTCCTGTTCAATCACTGTTGGGAGGCCTGGCCCACAGCCTCTTCCTCCTTCCACTTTATCCCATCTGTCCTCTTACTGAGAATTTGGTAGGGGTTTGTCTTATGTTTTGGATTTTCGAAACCATGTCTCTGTATTGTTTTGGAGCCTGTCCTAGAACTCACTCTGTGGACCAGGCTGGCCTCAAACTCACAATGATTCACCTGCCTCTGCCTCCCAAGTGCTGGGATTAAAGGCATGCCCCACCAATGCTGGCTGGGGTTTGTTTTTGATTGCTATGTAGCAGAAGCTGGCCTGGAACCCACAATCCTCCTATCTCAGCCACCCTAGGGCTGGCTGGGATTACATACAGATGCATTTGCTCTGACCTGCTGTCTAGTAAGGTTGATAGCCTGGCACAGGCATACATGCTCTCTCACATGTATACACTAGGCAGAATGTTCTCATGTTTACATGGTTCCTAGTGCTAACATTTTCTTGCTCCCAAAGGTCTGGAACCTGGGCCTGTTTTGTTTTATTTGTTTTTCAAGACAGGGTTTCTTTCTGGTTTTGGAGGCTATTTTGGAACTAGCTCTTGTAGACCTGGCTGGCCTTAAACTCACAGAAATCACCTGCCTCTGCCTCCCCAAGTGCTGGGGCTAAAGGGGTGCACCACCACCACCCGGCATGGACCTGCCTTTATTATTATTCTTCAATTATAGAGTTATTTGCTATAGTTGTGTATGAATGTTTTGCCTACATGTATGTATGTGAACCACATGTGTGCATATTCCCTGTAGAGGTTACAAGAGTGGTCACGAGGGCATTGGATTCTCTGGAACTGGAGTTATGGATGGTTGTGAGCCAATATGTCAGTACTGGGAATTGAACCTGGGCCCTCTATAAGAGCAATAAATGTTCTTAACCATTGAACTGGCTATACAATTCCTTGCTTCATGTCTTTTGTACTCTGCTCTAGGTACCTTCTCTTCATGAAGCTGGCTGCTTTACAGTTGATGCAGCAGAAAGCCAGCAAGGTTGAAACCCCCACCTCCCTGGAAAATGGCGGTCCTCCTTCCTCAGCAGAGGCCGAGTCTGAAGACTCAGTAGGACCTGAGGCAGGAAGTGAGGAGGAGGGCAGCAGTGTGAGTGGCCTCGCCAAGGTGAAGGAGCTGGCAGAGACCATCGCCTCAGACGATGGCACAGGTGGGGATGCTGTGCTTGTTTGGGACACCCCAAGCTGGTCCTGGCAGCTTAGCCATGGGTGGCTCATGACCTCTTAGAGGGCTGTGGGGCAAGAGGATCTCAGAAGCACAGCTCTACTTTCTACCCTCACACATCTCCACAGTAGACCCTCGAAGCCGAGAGGTGATCCGCAATGCCTGCAAGGCTGTTGGCTCCATCAGCAGTACCGCCTTTGACATTCGCTTCAACCCTGACATCTTCTCCCCAGGCAAGTGTGTGGGGTTCAGGTAATCAGTGAATAAACCCTGCAGGTAAGGGCAGATCATCATGAGGTGGGTGGCAGCAAAAAGCTGCCTCCAGATGATTTCTGTCTTTATCCTAAAGTTACTTACCTACTTGGCTCAATCCTTCCTTTTCTTTCTCCCTAGGGGTTCGCTTTCCTGAATCCTGCCAGGATGAAGTTCGGGACCAGAAGCAACTGTTGAAAGATGCAGCAGCCTTCTTGCTGTCCTGCCAGATCCCTGGTTTGGTGAGGGAGGGGCTGAAGGATGGGGGCTGCCAGAAGGGCTGTTGCAGACCTTGATGCCTCATGCCCCTTGGTCTCTTATCACACAGACCTTTCATATAGCTTTTGCATTAGCTCTTCCTAGCCTGGCAGGCTTCCAGGGCCCGAGAAGTCAAAGGAGACATCAGGCATAGGCTTTGCCCTGCTGAGACTAGGATTCTTGTCCTCAGCCCCAGATAGCAGAGAAGAAGCCTGGGTTTTTCCTTGATTCCACTAGCTTTCTGCCTAGGCCCCTGAATGACAGGCTTCCTCCTCCTACCTATGTAACATGGCCCTTTGTTAGGTGGCTTGCTTATCTCGGATTGTAAGCCTCAGGAGTAAAGCTGTGGCTCCTTCCCACATGACCTCAGGCACCTGGCTTCACACAAGGGGCCTGGCTGCTTCCTGATGGCAGGGTCCATCTTTCTGTTCCCCTTTGCTTATGTAGAAGGCAGGGACAGGTTCCTGTGCCCCTTTCACACCTTGTTTCCTTCCTTCTTCCTCATGGAAGCCAGGGCCTTAGTTCTTTCCTTCCTTTAGGCCAGTAGGGAAAACCCAAAGTGGGAAGGGACAGAGAGGGCTAGGGCTGGTCTTGACCTGATGCCAGTCCCACAGGTAAAGGATTGCATTGAGCATGCTGTGTTGCCCATGGATGGGGCCACGTTGGCTGAGGTGATGCGCCAACGTGGTATCAACATGCGCTACCTGGGCAAGGTGCTGGATCTGGTGCTGCGGAGCCCAGCCCGTGACCAGCTGGACCACATTTATGTGAGTGGGGCTAAGGCTGGGAGGCAGCTGTTACAGCTGGAGGTCTGGAACCTGCCCAAGACTTCCTTCTTTGACCCCTCAGAAAATCGGTATTGGAGAACTCATCACACGTTCCGCCAAGCACATCTTCAAGACATATCTACAGGTGCTGCCACTCATCCCCAAGTTGGTGGGACCTCCCTTGGGTGGCATGGGGCCTGGAGAAGAGCCCTGGGTGGGGGCTTAGGGCCATCCTGACTTCAGTCAAAACTTGGCTCAGGGAGTGGAGCTCTCAGGCCTCTCAGCTGCCATCAGCCACTTCCTGAACTGTTTCCTGAGCTCCTACCCCAACCCCGTGGCCCACCTGCCCGCTGATGAGCTACTCTCCAAGAAAAGGAACAAGAGGAGAAAAAACCGGCCTCCAGGAGCTGCAGACAACACTGCCTGGGCTGTGATGACCCCCCAGGAGCTCTGGAAGAACATCTGCCAGGAGGCCAAGAACTACTTTGACTTCACCCTTGAGTGGTGCGGGCACAGGGGACAAGGGTTACTGTAGGGGGTTGGGGGTTGGAGTTCAGGCAGCATCTAGGGTCTGTGGTCACAAGGTAGTGGAGTGAGGACAGCAGGGGAACAGGTAAAGCTGTGGGGACCAGCATGGGAAAGGAAGCAGGGCTGTGAGATTTAGTGGAGAGGAGTGCTTACTGATTCTGGAATTCAGCAGCTGTCCTGAGTGGCAGCCGGGTACAGGGCTGCTCAGCCCCCGCTCCTACCCCTAGTGATTCTATGGACCAGGCTGTGGAGACCTACGGGCTACAGAAGATAACACTGCTTCGAGAGATCTCCCTGAAAACCGGGATCCAGGTGGGCCCTCGTTTGCAGCCTGGACCACACAGGGCAGGGGGAAGGGAGCTTTGTTGGGATAGTAGTCTCTGATCAGACATGCTGGTAGGCTGGGAGGTGCTGTCCTTCGCTGTCTAAGGCTGAGGCTTTGGGTTTTGGACCCTGTCCCCAGATTCTGCTGAAGGAGTACAGCTTTGACAGCCGCCACAAGCCTGCCTTCACTGAGGAAGACGTGCTCAACATCTTTCCTGTGGTCAAGCATGTCAACCCCAAGGCTTCAGATGCCTTCCACTTCTTCCAGAGTGGGCAGGCCAAAGTACAGCAGGGTGCGTGGCACTGTGGGCTGGGGGAAATGGGTTTGTCTTTTGCCCAGCCCTGACCTTGCCACCTGGGCTGCCTCATAGGCTTCCTGAAAGAAGGCTGTGAGCTCATCAATGAGGCCCTGAACCTGTTCAATAACGTGTACGGAGCCATGCATGTGGAGATTTGTGCCTGCCTGCGTCTATTGGCCCGACTCCACTACATCATGGGTGACTATGCTGAGGTGTGTAGGCTGTGGCACCTCTGGCTGTGCCATCATCACCCCCAGTTAGAACAGGGAGAATGTTCTTCCTTGGGCTTTTGGGTGGGGGAATAAGTGGCATCCAGAGAGCTCCAAAAGTTCTTGTTTTGTGAGCAAACCCACCCTTCACTCCTTCCTGTCCTTGGGAGGACTCTGCTCTGTGAAGGTAGACATGACTCAGGGTAGGAAACTCAGGGGTAGTGGCAAGGGTAGATTTTGAGAGCCTGTGAGTAATCTGTGGCACAATCCCTAGCCTTCAAGTGACTATCAGCAAAGTATCGGATGGTTTCCTTCATTTTCTTCAGTGTTCTGTGACTGATTGTATTCCAGCTGTTTCATGGGCTTTGAGAAGCTTTGGGGGGAGGGGTCAGCATAGGTCTCCTTTTTCAATAAGAGTCTAAGACAACTTTTCAGAAATTAATGTATTTGCAGTATAGTTCTGGATCTTTTTGTATTTGCATAGATTTTGTTAGGGAAGAAGACAAAGAGCAGAGTTTCAGAAACCTCCAGTCTCCTGCTGCTGTGTGCATGCAAGTGGTAGAGACTGTAGGGTGGACACCACTGTGGGGCTGCTCAGATGCGGGGCAGTGCTCACCTGAGATTGATGCCCTCTGTCCAGGCACTCAGCAACCAACAGAAGGCAGTGTTGATGAGTGAGCGTGTGATGGGCATCGAGCACCCCAACACTATCCAGGAGTATGTGAGTAGCCAGCCACCTTGGAATTGGTGTGGGGGGGAGGGGGAGCGGGCCCACTCTGATCCACCATGACCCCAACCACAGATGCACCTGGCCCTGTACTGCTTTGCCAGCAGCCAGCTGTCCACAGCCCTGAGCCTGCTGTACCGCGCCCGCTACCTCATGCTGCTTGTATTCGGGGAGGACCACCCTGAGATGGCATTGTTGGATGTGAGTGTTAGGGAGAGGGGAATGTGGTTGAACAGGTGTCCATAAGTGGACACTAGCCTATGTGCAGGGGTAGGGAGAGGTGGGGAACTAATTCAGCTCTTTTCTTATCCCCCAGAACAACATTGGACTGGTGCTGCATGGTGTAATGGAGTATGACCTATCCCTGCGTTTCCTAGAGAATGCACTGGCTGTCACTACTAAGTATCATGGGCCCAAGGCCCTTAAGGTGGCTCTCAGGTAAGGCAGTACTAGCTGAGATCCTCAGTAAACTCTAGGTGGCATGGGGAAGGGAGTTCATTTTGTCTTGGGCCTTTAAGAAAGGTTCTCTGAAGTTCTGCCTGCCCTGTCCTTGAGTGGTTCCTCAGGAGCTGGGCTGGGAGTAGGGGGGACTACTCCCCAGGTAGTCTCCACCCTTTGTCCCTCCTTTGCCCCATATATTCTGCTCCTTGCAGCCACCACCTTGTCGCCCGAGTCTATGAAAGCAAAGCTGAGTTCCGGTCAGCCCTTCAGCATGAGAAGGAAGGTTACACCATCTACAAGACACAGGTGGGCTTCAGCAGGGGCTGTGAAGGTTGCCCCTGTGTCAGTGCAGTCCTGATCCCCGTTTGCTTTGGTGCTTGTTCTCTATAGCTAGGTGAGGATCATGAGAAGACCAGGGAGAGCTCTGAGTACCTCAAGTGCCTGACCCAGCAGGCTGTAGCCTTGCAACGCACCATGAATGAGATCTACCGCAATGGCTCCAGTGCTAACATCCCACCCCTTAAGGTACAGACCTGGGATGAGTGGGTGGGTCCAATTCCCTGGCCTCCTGCCGTGCGCCTCTAACCTGTGGCCGTCCCTACCACTCAGTTCACAGCTCCCAGCATGGCTAGTGTCCTGGAGCAGCTCAATGTCATCAATGGCATTCTCTTCATTCCTCTCAGGTGAGCCCTCCACCATTCCCCACAACCTATTAATTACTATTACTGTTTTGTTTTCTCAAAACAGGGTTTGTGTTTCAAGACAGCCCTTTCTAGACCAGATTGACTTTGAACTGACTCTGCCTCCTGAGCGCTGGGATTAAAGGCTTGTGCCACCACTGCCCAGCTTAGGTTCAGTGCTCAAACCAGCAGTTTTTTTGTGATTCCTCCCAGACACTTTGTAATCCAGCTATAGTGTTCTATTTTGTATTGTTTATTTTCCTGTTGTGAGACCGCTAGCTCAGGCTAGCTTTTTTAGTGCTAGCCCAGGCTAGCCTTATACTTGTGGCAGTCCTCCTGCTTCATACGTCTGAGTGCTGGGATTATCATTAGCCGGCCTAACACACATGCTTTTCGAGTGTTAGGATCACAGTTAAATTATGTACGACCACCTGGTTTCATTTTTTCAAATTTGTTTGGTTTTATTTAGATAGCATCTCAGATAGCCCAGGTTTCTCTCACACTTGAGTGTAGCTGATAATGATATGGACCCGCTCCTGTTCCTGTTTCCCAAGTACTGAGAGATCCCAAGCTCTCGCTGTACCTGGTACTTTCAATTATTTTGGTGATCTTTCACCTCGAGTACATAGAAAGTGACTCTTTTCTAGTTAATCTGCCTTTCCAGTGCAGGGGCTGTGTCCTGTCAGCTAGCCTTTTGAAAACCCTGCAGCTCTTAAACTGCTTTGAGAGTACCTCCCTCCTAGATGTGGGAGATGGTGTTGGTGGGAGGACCAGCAGTAGAAACACCTGTCCTGTTTTTTCTGCATGTGGTTTGGGGCAGGGGGTGGCATACCCTCACCAAATGCTTTGTAAAGTGTAGGGAGCATCCACACATCTCCCACTAGTAGAGCAAAGAGCTCAATGAAGTTTCATGTGTCACTGTGATAGAAGCTGCAGGGTGGCAGAGGGCCCAGGCTGCTCTGATCCTACCTTTGCCTCCTAATGCTCAGCCAAAAAGACTTGGAAAACCTGAAGGCAGAGGTGGCACGGCGACACCAGCTCCAGGAGGCAAGCAGAAACAGGGATAAAGCTGATGATGTGTCCACTGATCCTGAGCCAGCAACAGCCCTGGAGGACACGGGCTCCCCTCAGACTGCCAAGGAGGATCCTTCTCTGAGCTTACAGGGATAAAAAAGAGAAACATGGACAGTCAGCAGCCCCATTACCCAGTGATGCAGAGATTCCAGAAGGGGGCATGCCCCGGAGATTGGGAGAGGAAGCTAGTCCGCCACTTTCCACCCCTGCCCCACCCCCAGTATCTGCCTGGGTGCCCGGCCAGGCATGGCCAGCCTGCTCCCAAGAAAGGGTTTGCACTGGTTCGAAGAGAATGAATTGTGTAGGCATCAACTCCAACGTGGGGGCAAGTGTCACCCCCAGCCTCCCGTCCTGAAGCAGGTGTGTCAATGCCTGTGGGTGTCTTGCTCCGTCCTTCCTTCTGATGTACATAGCCCAGGCAGTTGTGAGTGGATGACGTGCAGATGCAATTTCTCAGGTCATTTTTGACATTTACAGCTGCTGCTTTTGTTGCCACTACCCCTGGGCCCAGCCTGGCTTAAAGTCCAGGTTGAAGCCAAAAAAGAAGGGGGCGTTCCCGTGTCCTGGGGGGGGGGCAGATCCCTAGTAGGGTATAAGGTAAGACCTACAGTGGCTTTACTGTGATTAGCCTCAGGGTGAGGGGATGGGGCCTACAGTGGTGGACACCCCTTGCATCCATGTGCCTGACCTTGGCCAAGCAGGAGGCAGCACTGCCCCAGGTTTTGACTTGCCTCCCTGTTCCCTGTACCCCAGGTGGGCTAGGGGGCCAACAGTCTTGAATGTATCTTTCTCCCCATTTTAACCTGAGCTGCCTAACCACAGTGGGGTGTAGTTGGGTGAGGGGCAGGGACGCAAGCCTGAATCAGGCACAGGAGTGATTGTCACCTGTGGAGCCAGGCTCCTTTCTTGGTATTTGCCATATAAGCACTTCCTCTTTGTACAAAGAGGCTCAGGGGTGACAGGGCTCATACTACCTGGCTGCTCTCTCCCAGCCTGCCTGTTAATTCTCTTTGTCTGCTGTCCCTGAAGGAGATGGCCACCCTTTGAGCCTAGGGGAGCTGATCTAGGCAGAGCCCCTGCTTGGGTTTTGCTGGAGCTGCTGATGGATAGTATCTGTCCAGGGACCTTGTTTCAAAGGGAATAGGCGTGAGCCAGCAAGGCATCCCCACAGCTATCAAGAATGTTTTCTTGTTTTTAAACCATCACGTCTTCATTTCACATTGGAATAAAGTGAGTTTTTGAAACCTGCTGCCCCAGCCTCACCTGTGTGCTCTGTTAGCCAGGCTCCTATGTAAGGCTACCGGGAGATAATTACATAGTGTGAGTCAAATTCAAGGTTATGAAGTGGAAGGTATGGAACTCCAGCTGTTCAGTTGGGACCTACACACAAAAAAAAGGCTGCAGTGAAGGGCATGTGATAGAGATATTTATTGGGGGGCAGGATTTGGCAGTAGGCAGCTGAGTTGAGACACATTTCAGGTTTTGGTAAGAAGCTCAGTTTCCAGGCTTAATCCTCATTAGGCTAATCTGGAGGACACAATCAAAATGCTGGTCTATACTGTCTCTTACTAGGTCTTAAGTGGGCCTCTAGAATTTGCATGTCTGACAAATTCCCAGGGGATGATATGCTGGCTCAGAGAATATAACTGCTGCCAGTAATCACATCTGCACGTCAGTTTACGCCAGATTAGCCAAGGGAGGATGTGGCATCGTGGATGCAGAGCCATTTCCCCTGCCTTCAGGAGGGAGGCCAGTGTGTGCTTGCTTTCAAAGTCACCACAATATGATACTAAGTTAGAACTCTAACCAGAAGTAAAGTGAATGGGAAAAAAAGGGTCTGCATAAGCAGGAAAGCCAGCTTATACAGTACAGGCATTGCCCAGTTTCTCTTTGGCTGGGAAGGTTCCAACACCAGTAGTACTGGGCATAAAACCTTGGAGACAGGATGAGACAGCATCTAGAACAGTGATTAGAATTAAGGATTATTTACAGCTCTAAGGGAAGAGATGCTAGATAAAAGGCTTGTTTAAACAAAAATGGGCAGGGACCCCATCTATGGGACTGAGTCTCTAACGGGAAGGGTGGGGCTTTGCTACCTACCCAATGCAGTGAGTGGTTCTACAAGATCCCTACTATGTGCTGCTCCCTCCAGATAAGTAGACAATAAAGACAGTTTGAGCAAAGTTCCCAAAGGGTCTTGTTCCTGGTGCCAAGGGGAAAAAAAAGCCCCAGCCTCACTTCCTACCAAGATCCATGTACAACAAAACCCCACCCCCAATACCCACCAAGAAACCCCCAGCACATCGAGTTTTATAGGCATTTAATAGTTTACCAATTGGTACAATAAGATTTTTAATATGCAGAAAACATGAATAAATTTTGTTTTACACAGTCTGAGAGCAACAAATCTTACTGTAAAACACAAGAGCAATATTAATTATATACATTCCTTTACTGATTTTTAAAACTGTGTCGATATCTTCAGTGAACTCTTACAATCTGGGGAACTGTTTTCTCCAATTACCACCTCCACATCGTTCATATGAAATCAATGCTTGCCTTCATGTCAGTGTCAGTCAGGATCAACTTCTAACTTGTAGAGTTTGTGTTTATTTCTAACATCTTCAGAGTGAGCTTTGGGGAGCCTGAAGGATAGGCAGGCGAGAAAGCAGCTACTTACATGATAACAGTGGAAGGATAAAAAAGGCCAGTTCCAGTCCTGACTTGTGAGTCCAGCTTCCCCAGCCCACCCCGCCCAGCCCACTGGAGAAACCCAAAACCTTCCAATTTTGCCCATGTTGCTTGTCTACCAGAACATTCTTCTTTGCACCATCTAGATTAACCAACACATTAGAGTTTATATACAGCTGGACAGTAGGAGTAACCATTTTAAGTGCCTTTTCCTTCCATTTCAACTTCAGTTGCTTAAGGATTATCAAGCCACCACTGTCAACAAATAAAATGTCCTTATTTTTAAATAGTTTTTCTTTAAATTAAAAAACAAAACAAAAAAAAATAAACTTTTTAGTGAGTGGTATTATCTGGAAGTTCACATGGAAACAGAAAGAGGCAAACAGGAGACTGGGCTTGCTGAGCCTAGAGCCAAAGCTTCCAAAGGACAACAGTGTGCCATGGCCCAGGACGGCTTGCTAACACTAGCAACTGTGGGTAGTGCTCTAGGCACACACCATTGGTCACACCACATGCAGACAGGACGGTCTTAGTCTCCTAAAGTGCAAGATGCCAAACAAAAAGCAACTATTCTCCAGGCCATGTCTACACAAATCTCTGCAGCTTGCACTTTCCATGCAGTTAGGACTTCTTGGGCACGCTGTGCTATAGGTGGCACTGGAATGTCTGTTTACAAACACAGTCAACAATCATCCTAGGACACAATTCTACCAGCTTTTTATTTCTTAATAAGTGGCCAATCAGACTCGAAAATAACAAAGCAGCAGTGAAACGCTAACCAATTCTTAAAGTCCTCTACTTATAACCCAAACCAGTTAACTTTATCATTGTCCTTATCCCAGGCAAGGCACAGGGTTAGACAGCAGACAGAGAAAACAGTAACATAAGAGTAAGGGCATCAACAGGGCAGTGTCAAACAACAGTGCAAGAAAACTTTGCAAATTGGATGCCAAATGTGGATGTTGCCCCCCTCCCCTCACTACTCAAACAGGGGTCGTTACGTTTGGATCCAGCTGTGGACCATCCCTGAGATTCAATGTTTGCTGCTGCTTAAGCACAGGATGTCTCATAATTCAGCTTCGTTACAAAGCACTCCCTCCTCGAGGAAACCCAGAACAGCAGCTTTGCTCCTCTACATTGGTACCATTCTTGTTTCTATAAATGATGTCTAGATGTTGTGGCTTACCCTTAGACAATTCATGTTGCTACATGCTAAAACTGAATTAAAAGACAAGACATTTAAACACATACAAACAAATGTTAAGATGCACCATTTCTATGTATTTATATTCTTGAAATAGGACAGGAAATAGCAGCAAATGAGAACAAAGATATTTTCCATAGCTTTTGGAGAAAAATCCAGTCAGAACAGCTAAGGGAAAAAAAAAAAAAATTTTTTTTTCAATGTTAGCAAGGGTGTGAGGCAATGTTGTTCTGAAAACTAACCTACAGCGTTTATGGAATCAAGATGGGAGTTTTTTGTCTTCAAAAATGGCCATTTATTTCTCAAAACACTTCCTTTCTAGAGACAAGTCTGAGTAGTATCAAGAACAAACAGGTGACTAAACAAAAGGACACAGGCTAGACATTAAGCTGCTCCTAGTGGCCTAATCTCTCTGTATATCTATAGGACAGTAGCCCTCACCCTTTGTCCTTTCAGGAATCAAATTTCCTTTAAATATTTAAAGGGACATTTTAAAATATCGTATCACACAAATGAATAAAATGCAGTCCAGAAAAAAATTATCATTGTTAAACTGTCATTGTTATTTCATTGTTTCTGTTAATTTTTCAAATTAATTTTCTTAAAAAGAAAAGGAAAAAAAAAAGTTCGTTAGCTAGGCAAAGGAATTCTTTATTAACAACTGATGATAGTGTTCCAAAAGTCATGGGCAAAATTCTCTTAACCCTTAATGTAGTAACTTTGGATCAAAATAGACAACATATCGGGGATGTATAAAATGTTGAATGGCCACATTAGAGTGGAGAATAAAGGAGGTGGCTTTCTTTTAACTCAGAAAAGCCCCTCCACCAGAAACATCAGAAGGGTTTATCCTAAAGCATGGCTGTGGGTGGTACTGCACAGCAACGTTTATTCTACTCGTATGATTTAGCACTTCTTCAAAAATTCAAGACCCAACAACATGGAGGTTATATGTGTGATATACATATACAGACATATCCACTTATAGATAGGTCCATATACTTATAAACATTTACATATAAACAAAGATGAAAAAAGTATATTTCTATGCACGCTTCATTAAACCCTGTCACTTTTTATAACTTGAAGTGAAGCAGTTCAAATTATCAGGTTTGCGTTGGAAACTGCTGTTTCTCCTGCTCCTTAAAAATGTGCACATAACTTTGTCAGCATTTGTTATTCTGAAATGCACATTGCACATCCCTAAAAACATCATAAACACATAGTGATTTGTACCATGACACTCAATGGGAAGATCAAATTCTACTGGGGAGTCACATCACTACACAGTCCAACAGTATGGAGAATATAACTCCAAGTATGTCTGGTGTGGAGAGAAGCTTCAAGTAGGACAGTGTTTTTCTGACCTGTTTAC